ACGCGTAAATTGACTCATAAAATTTATTTGAAACAACGGCTTACATGCGTGTCTGTCGAAAACTCTGAAGGTATCTATCTAATGTTGTATACGCTAATATGAAGTTTTTACATAATGAATAATCAATTTTAACTTTAATTCAATTTGAAAGATGAACCTATTTCACATCAAGAGGTTGTCGATTCGGAGGAAGAAGAGATATGGAAAAACATGGAAGAAGTGAGACCCAGAAAGAGAAAAAAGATTCAGGCATAAGTAACCATAGAATTCCTCGATACCGTGAATAAATGTTGGGCACTCTGAAAAGTATCGCCAAATATCGCCATGTTTTTAAAATCCCTTATTGATAAACCATTTCTTTACTTTGAAGACATAATTTCCCTTAATTACCACTTGATTGCTGGTGTGATTAATCGAAATCATGGAGTTGATGGGTGTATCATAAGGAAAGACCTCCTTTCTAATGTCATTACGAAGGGCCTATATGCGAGATTAATGACAAATAGGTCTACCAAACTTTCGTGATCTCTTTTAATGGAATCTGAAATCATTTTTTACCTGGATATCACCTTCAATTCTTCTTATCACTGTCAGAATTCTTGATTTACCATTCCTAAAGTCTGAATAAACGGGCAAACTTTTATTTTTTGTACGGTGTACGAAGTAAGGATATTGTACATATTTTATTATTGGTTCAAGCTTTTGATTTAATTGATCGGGTTGTTTCCTATTGTCAATGATAATTGGATTGTCTGCACTATTTTCGTCTGTATGCATTTAAAAATTAGTTACAAGAACTTCGGTTTGGCGATAATAATAATAATAATAAAGTAACATTACAAAGATACCAAGACTATATCTTGAAATTCGGTTTTTCTCTGGTTTTTGCTTTTTCAGGGAAATGGGTTCGGAGAAATTTCTGCTTTTAACGTGAAAAGTTCGCACGGAATAATATAATGGAAGTGCGCTAGAAAAAGGTTTTGTAAGCATCATTGATAAAAAAGATGTCCCGAACGCTGAGGATCTTATCTAAAATTTTTTTATTGGTCGTAATCACGTGAAATTTTAATGCAATAAAAGATCAAAAAATTTTTTTTTGGTTCGACCTCTTCCACCTATCCCCCCCACTGATAACGAAATGGCCGATAAAAAGATCGCCAAACGGCCGGGCTCACTGACCACGGACGAAACCACCGAACAGATTGCACAAGCTATTTACGATTTGGAAAGCAATGTAGCGGAATTGAAGAAGGACCTAAAGATTTTTCAAATCACCAGTGCCAAAGAGGTTTGTCATTGCTTATTTTGTCAACCAGAATCGTGCAATGCAATGCAAAGTATCCCTGGAGCAATCAATTCTCTTGCTAACAATAATTTGCAACACTTCATCAAGTGCGAAGTAGTCGGGGGTAAAAAGGCTATTGTGATTTCTGTGCCGGTTCCCCTATTAAAGCAATATCAGCATAACAATAATAAGATCCTGCAGAGGTTTGTGATCCTGAACAAACCAATCAATTATTCTTGGTTAATACTGAATCTATAGTTGAATGTCCATGTTTTATGCAGACTTACTCGCGAGTTGGAGAAAAAATTTTCCGACCGGCATATCGTTTTTATTGCAGATCGTCGTATCTTGCGTAAACCTGGTCGAAGGTCTCGTATCAAGCAACCCCGTCCTCGATCGCGTACACTCACCCATGTTCATGAAAAGTATCTTGAAGACTTGGTATACCCTACCGAAATTGTGGGTAAAAGGACGCGTGTCAAAGTGGATGGTAGCAAGATCATTAAAGTGTATTGTATCTCGTTATTTTTCATTCTCTGCCTTAACCCAAATTTTGAATTAATTTTTGATTCCTATTATTCTTATTTTCCTTTAGCTTCCTTGATAGTAAGGACGCCACATCCCTGGAATACAAACTCGATACTTTTAAATCTGTTTACAAATATCTCACTGGAAAGGATGTCGAGTTTCAATTCCCTGCTCATCAGCTAGAATAAAAACTAAAATTGTTTCTGCGCTGAATTCGTTTGTGTAGTTTTCCAGATAATAATTTATGTTCGAGTTTACTGGTAAATCACGACATTAGAATAAAAAACTCTTTTTCTATATGGCAATTAATTATTTTGAGACGATAAAACGTCAGGCATTCCTTTTCGGGACGAGAAGTTAGGACTCTGGTCTAAAAAGCATTTTGTGTCATACGTACCTACAGTTGAACGAAGTTGGTTGTGTAATTATCAGATGGGTACTCAAATAAATTTAATATTATTTTTAAAAAGAATATGGTTATATATAGTGTAAGTCATAAATTTTTAAAATTAATTAAAAGTTGTTTAAATATTATAAAAATTTATAAAAAAATTTTTGAAGTTTAAATTATTTATGAACATATTTTAATATATGTTAAAATAAAAAAATATATACAGTTTATAGTAAAAAAATTTTAATTTTTTACTTATCATATATAAATTATTCATTTTATTTTACAATTTATAAATAACTTATTTTACAATCTAAATTCTTTTTTATCCAAGTTTATCTTAAATTATAAATTATTTTTTATTTCTATTGATTAATTTATCTTGCAATTTTAAGTAATAAACAAATTTCGATTTTTTTCTTTTGTAAAATTTTAATCTTGAATATTTTATTTAATACCAAATAATCAAGTTTCTTTTTACATTCTTAAATTTTTTAAAAATCCGAACCAATCTTTAAAACTATATTACAGCATATTATAAATTAATAAAAATAATTGATATTTTGTTATACAAAAGATACCACTATATTTTACGTATAAGTTTATTCTCAAGTTATAACAAAGATGTAATATATTTTTATTTTTTAGTTATATAATAATTTTATTATATTGTATGTATTAAAAAAAAAAAATTGTAATTTATATTTGATTATATTAAAAAATATGACTTGCAATATGTGATAACTAAAAAAATACAAATCAATAGCTTAATTGATTTAATTAATTTTAAAATTATATCAAAAATTTTTTATTTCAAAAAATTTTTGTACTTATTGTATTATTGATTTTTTGAAAATTTTTGGTTTTATTATTTTTCTTTCAAGATGTATTTTCTTTATTATTATTATTTTTTTTTTTCTAAAGTAAATAAATTTTTTAAATTCGATAATATAAAAATTTTAAAAAATATTATTATTAATTTTTTATTAGTTTAATTTAAATTTATATTAATTTAAATTAAATATATATTTACAGTATATAAAGATTCAACTATTTGTTTTTTTTATAAATTATTTTTTATTAATAACTGTTATATTTATTAAAGTTTTTAATTTAAAAGTTTTAATATATAATTATTGTTAGCTATTTTATACTATTATTATTTTTTAATATTTAAAAATATTTTATAATTTAGACAAGCTAACATAACTTATTGTATTAACATACGAGAAATATTGTTTCTTTCACAATGTATATCTTGTTATATATACAAATCAAATAAATATTAGAAAATTTTTATTTTAAAAAAATTTAAAAATCTTTGAAATAATAATAATTATATTAAAATAAATATTTATTACTTTTACCAAATTTTAAAATTATATAAACTAAATTATTATTACAAGAATCTTTATTAAAAGAATAATTATTTTTAAGAAATTTAAATTCTCTGCAAAACTCTAAAAATAAATAACTATTAATTAATAAAATAAAATATTAAAAACAAAATATTATAAAAATATCTCTGAAACATTCTATAAATATTTAATATATTTTGAAATAGTAGAAAACTTTGACTTATTTAAATCTTCATTAAACTCATTACTAAAGTTTACAATTAAAATATATTTGTTAACATACCTTATATAAGAGAAATGTCTTGAAAAAGTGTATTAACAAAATTGATATTTGTAATTTATTTAAAAAGCTTTCAAAGAAATCTAGAAAATACTGTATATAAAATTAATTAATATTTTATTAATTAATTTTGATCAATCAAAAATTTAATTTATAAGTTGTAATAATTATATTAATAAAATGATTTCATTTCATATAATGACTTAATAATTTATATTTATAAAGTAATTTTTAAAAAATAATGAAAAAAAGTTTACAATTATAATATAATATAATTTCTTGAAATTTATATTATATATGATCTCTAAAGTTCTTACTTTTTCTTTAATATCAAATAAAAAACAAGAAATATATAAAATATTTCAAAACTTATTTCTGGTTCTGCCAAAAAAAAAAAAGGTAAAGAAATACTTTGAAATTTTTTAAAAAAACAAAGAGTACTTAAGGAATCCAAGAACCAACTATTAAATGAAAACTCACAACTTCTATTAAAATAGAAACAAAAATATCTTAGAAGTAATTGAGATCTTTTAAACATGTTTTCAAATCTTCTTTTTATATACCAATATAAAAAATGTTTAAAAAAACTTTGAATATATTTAAAGATTTGTTATAATATTATTTTTAAAAGAGAATTAAAAAAGAACTTGAATTTAAAGAAGAAAATTCAAGTAGCTAAGATAAAAAAATGATTGATTAATTAATTATTACTATAGAAGAATCTCTAAAGAATTATAAAAATATTAAGAATAATATAAACCTACTACTAGAAAATAGAGAATTAGAAAAAAAGATTTCAGTAATAAGTAAAGATTTAAACAAATAAAAAAATATAAACAAGAATTATGTAATAATAAAAAATAATAATAAATTTTTTTTTTTTTTTTTTTTTTTAAAGTTAAACGGCATTAGATGCAAATTCTTTATTGATAACAATGTATTCATTACATCACG